GTGCATAAAAGTTAATTGCAGAATGTTCCACTGCTTAGTGAAGTTTGTGATGCTTGTTTTCATATTATTTCCTTGGTCTTTAACTCTTGTGTTGTGCGTAATTGAAGGCTGGAATTATGGAGTGTGCCGGCTGCCCGTAGGGGAGGCCACAACAACATACCTTTGTGTTCCTGCGCGGGTGTCGGTTCGGCCTGGCGAGGCGGAGGGCTGCCAGGATTAGACGCTGGCCGGCTGCCACACCGCAAGCAAGATGAACTCTCGTAACCCCAAGTAGCAGACTCCCGGGCTTCGTGCGCCTGAGGTCCCCCCCCCCCATTTATTTGCTGCATTTACTGGTCTCTTTGCAAAGTGAAAAATATCACATTTTATCTTTTGCAAATAACCACCAACACTGACATGTCAATGGTTGGAAAGTTGTCACTGAGATGATCGTGTTACGCAGAGTGTCTGGGGCAACCCAGCCAGATGGGTGGAGTAGAAATAATATAATTGATTAAAGTACAATTATATTTATACATTAATCGGGGAGGGGGGGGCCATATTTCTCTCCATGGTGTGGGAAAGGAGTCTTTTAGGACATGACCTGAAATGTTTGAAAGGAAGTCCCACCAAACTGAACATAAATGCTATGAAAGTTCCTTTCTTTTCACAATTTGAAGTGCATGTGTTATCTTTTGGTGCGTCTGAGTTGAAAATAAGAGCCCCAGATAGTTAGTTAGATAGATAGATGATAGATAGATAGATAGATAGATAGATAGATAGATAGATAGATAGACAGATAATTAAGAATTAATTACTGGTATTACAAGCTCCCAAGCCAGGTCTGGGCTCATTTCATCTGAGTATTTTGAGCAGTGGGGTTACCCAGAGACCCTGCTCCCCAATCCTGACCCTTTGCCCTGAGCACATGTGGGGCTTTATCACCAGCTAACAGGGGCCCTGGTGGGCTTGCCGTTGCCTTGATTGATTGATTGATTGATTGATTGATTGAGTGCATTTTTAAAAATATACCTATTCACTTTAAAAAAGAACAACCCTCAAAGCAGTTTACAAAAACCCCAAACATTAAAATTAAGCTAAATTAGTAAAACAGAAACTGGGCCAGATGGACGGGGTGTTATTATGGTCTAAACAAAAGTGTTTTTAGCTTGGAAAGAGCACAGCAAAGACTCCTGCCTGATGTCAATAGGCAGGAAGTTCCAATGTGTCTGTGCTGCCACACTAAGTGACCGAGTCCTTTCAAATGCAGAATGAGTAATATACGTGGCACCTCTATGAGTGCCACTTCCACCGATCAAAGGGGTCGATTGGCCATGGGCTACAGCGAATTTGCAGGAAAACTTGTTGTTAAGAACCCTATATACTAATAGTAGGGAAGTGGGTGGCGCTGTGGTCTAAACCACTGAATCTCTTGGGCTTGCTGATTGGAAGGTCAGCGGTTCGAATCCCTGCGATGGGGTGAGCTCCCATTGCTCTGTCCCAGCTCCTGCCAACCTAGCAGTTTGAAAGCACACCAGTGCAAGTAGATAAATAGGTACTGCTGTGGTGGGAAGGAAAACGGCGTTTCTGTGCACTCTGGTTTCCGTAACGGTGTTCCATTGCCCCAGTAGTGGTTTAGTCCTGCTGACCACACGACCTGGAAAGCTGTTTGTATACGATCGCCGGCTCCCTCGGCCTGAAAGCGAGATAAGCAGCGCAACCCCATAGTCGCCTTTGACTGCATTTAACCGTCCAGGGATCCTTTACCTTTTACCTTATACTAATAGTAATGCCTTGAGCTTGGACTGGCACCCATTCAACAACCAGCACAGATTTCTGGTGGGATGGAAATGTCCCCTGGAAAGCTTCTGGGGAGAATTTTGGACTCAGCAAATATTTTGCACCAAAATTACTTGCAAGGTGGGAGCAGAGCAGAGACTTGAGATCTTCTGCTGCAAGCAGGGACATCCTTGTCCCAGGAATGGCTCCAACTCCACTGAGCAGCAGCACCCCTTCCTTAGGATGAGGGGAGGGAGCCCAGTTCCCTGCCATGTGCTCTGTATGCTGAACATTGCAGGTTCATCTCCTAGCATCCCTGAAGGAGCTTAGGTGGAAGGACCCCAGAGAGAGCTTTTGCTTAATGGAGCAAAGTAATGGCATTGCAGATGGCAGCATCCCATGATGCTTGAATCATAGAATTGACAAATTGGAATGGAACCCCAAGGCTCATCCAGTCCAACCCCCTGCAATGCAGGAGTCACAACTGGGAGTGGCCACTGAGACCATATAACACCGGTCCTGAGAGATCTGCATTGGCTCCCAGTACATTTCCAAGCACAATTCAAAGTGTTGGTGCTGATCTTTAAAGCCCTAAACGGCCTCGGTCCAGTATACCTGAAGGAGCGTCTCCACCCCCATCGTTCTGCCCAGACACTGACGTCCAGTTCCAAGGGTGAGATGACAGGGGACTAGGCAGAGGGTGCCTACCCTGTGGAACGCCCTCTCATCAGATGTCAAGGCAATAAACAACTATTTTACTTTTAAAAGACAACTGAAGGGGGCCCTGTTTAGGGAGGTTTTTAATGTCTGATGCTGTATTGTTTTTAATATTTATTTGGAAGCCACCCAGAGTGGCTGGGGAAACCCAGCCAGATGGGTGGGGTATAAATAATAAATTATTATTATTATTATTATTATTATTATCATTATTATTAAAGCATCCCAGGCAGGTGGCCACCCAACCTCTGCTGAAGAATCTCCAAGGATGGAGAGTCCATTCCATTTCCTGATGGAATCAATTCTGCTGTCGGACAACTGCTCTACACACATAAAATGAATTCACGCACAGGCATCTTCCAAAAACCCATCCCAAACCCAAACCCCAAAAGTCCCATGGTGATCGGCAAATGGTAATGGGGGCAGGATTGTGAAATCTGGAAGCCCCTAGTCATGAACCAGCACATGGGCGGTGGATACAGATTCAGTGGTTCTGACTCAAGGAACGAGGCAGTTGAGCAGCTTGGCATCTGTATCCATGACTGAGCAGCCCCTTTTAGAATCCACTCTGCTCACCCCAAAAAGGGGGAGGGGCTAGAAAAGGTGCCCTGAACATAGTCTGCCTCCCTTTTTCCCCTAACTCGATTACCACGCCCAGTGGGGTCACCACCCAGCGGTCGCAAAAGACAATTGACGCAAGGGAGAAACATGCTCAGAGGAAGGCAAACCCTCACTGTGATCAACTCCTGCCCAGAAACCTATGTCCCCACTGTGGAAGGATGTGTGCATCCAGAATTGGCCTCCACAGTCACTTATAGACTCATTGTTAAAACCGTGTTTATGGAAGACAATCTTACTTGGCTATGAGGGATCGCCAAAGAAGAAGAAGGCCACCAGAAAGTTTTTTTCTGATGTTTTTCCATGCTGACTGAGTGTGGGTTGCAGCATCCTTTTGCCTGGTTCATAATGGCGGAGGAACCCTCTCTGGCACTCAGGGTGGGATGCTGAAGGGCAGGGCGACTGTGCATGCACGGCATCCTGTACGGTCACCGTGCGAGAGGCAGCCCGTATGGACAGTGTGCGAGAGTGGCAGTCCGTACGAACGGCACGCAACCGGCGCCCATACTAACTGCGCTCGTGCCCTCAGCCGCTCTACAGCTGGGGGGCAGCGGGCCATCTTGTCACCCCCTCAGAGTGGGGCCTGGGGTGGCCTGCCCCCTCTGCCCCCCCTTTGTACGCCCCTGGGACTAGTCCCTGCAGAAAAGCAGGGAGGCAGGAGATGCTCTCTTGGAACCCGTAGCTACCCATATCCCAAGGGCATTGAAGAGGCCAACTGGCAGGTCTCTTTCCCAAAATGTTGCATTGGCTGCTCCCATGCTCCATAGATAGGAAATTATGCTACTGCCATGAAATGAAAGAGGAAATTTTGGGAGAACAGGCAACAAAGAAGTGACGTGTCAGGGAACTGCCATCAGTGCCGGAGGGAGAGAGCAAGATCCAGAGGGATTCCAGAGAGCGTCCCGGGATTGGGAGAGGCAGCCCATCTTCTGGGGAAGAGAATCAGCGTAGCATCAGTGGAGAAGGGGGGCAGATGGGGGAAGCGGCGAGGCGGTCCCATGACTCCTTGCCGGGGACCAGCGGGGAGAGTAGGGGTCCTCCGCTGCCTACGCCCTCCTTGCGCAGAAGGCTTTCGCGCAGAGAGAGTAGGAGGAGACTAGGCGTCAAAGAGCTTCTTTGCTGGAAGAAGTTTAAGAAACGCCCACTGACGGATTCTGCCAGCGATTGAGACAGCCACGGGTGAGTGGCTGTCCGGACAGAAAAGGTTCACTCAGGCAACCCAGCCAGGTGTTTGCACCGGCTTACGCACGAGCAACCCCTAGAACCATTACATGACGCGATAGAAGTTTGTTTTAAAAATCATGCGTGGCAGGGAGGCAGTGGATAGAGAGACATTTTGCTCCCTCTCACACAACACATCTGATGAAGAGGAAGGTTTGGAGATTCAGGACAGAGAAAAGCACGCAGCACAGAGTTAAACCATGGAACTCACTGCTGCAGGATGCAGGGATGGCAACCAACCAGGATGGCTTGGAAAGGGGATTTGACAAATTCCTAGAGGAGGAGAGGGCTTAATGGAGCCACAAGAGTATGGTTACCAGATGACCCTGTTTCCCGGGGCCAGTCCCCAGATTTACAAATCTGTCCCTGGACAAAATCAGTCCCCGGAATGTCCCCGGATTTCATTTAATGTCCCCGGATTTATATTTCAAGTTTTGTAGATTTATTAGTAGGGAATGAATGTTGCTTGATGGGTTCAACGGCACATGACACATCATATGGGGACTTCCGGCGAGGCAAAATGGCGGGCGCAACGACAGCGAGCAGCTCCTGAAGCCAGCCAGAGCCAACTGCACTACCAGGCTGGCTCCGGACTGCTGAGACTGCTGCCACCGCCACCACTGCCAAGGGGGAACCAGGGACGCCCGGCGCGTCAACTGGGGGAACCACTGACACCCCGAGACCCAAATTGAGCCGGGAGCAAGAGTGCCCGGCCACCTGGCCAACTGCCCAGTGGCACTCTGGGGCCAGGAAAACCCCAGAGCTGACTCAGGGAGAAGGAAGAGAGGGGAAGGAAGTGAGAGAAAGGAGAGGAGGAAGGAGAAAAAAGAGGGGAGCCCTGACTTTGCCGCACTGCTGCCACCACTGAGGAGAAAAGGTAGGAGAGCACCAGGAGGGCAAGGACACGTGGGCAAGCCCAGGCCCGACCTGAGCCTACTGCATGGTGGCTAGCGCTCCAAGAAAGCAGTCCGGGGCCCAGAGGAGGGCTGCGTGACAGAGGAGACCACAGAAGAGAAGATATTGTTGTTGTTTAGTCGTGTCCGACTCTTCGTGACCCCCTGGACCAGAGCACGCCAGGGCCTCCTGTCTTCCACTGCCTCCCGTAGTTTGGTCAAACTCATGCTGGTAGCTTTGAGAACACTGTCCCACCATCTCGTCCTCTGTCGTCCCCTTCTCCTTGTGCCCTCCATCTTTCCCAACATCAGGGTCTTTTCCAGGGAGTCTTCTCTTCTCCTGAGGTGGCGAAAGTCTTGGAGCCTCAGCTTCAGGATTTGTCCTTCCAGTGAGCACTCAGGGCTGATTTCCTTCAGAATGGAGACGTTTGATCTTCTTGCAGTCCATGGGACTCTCAAGAGTCTCCTCCAACACCAGAATTCAAAAGCATCCATTCTTCGGCGATCAGCCTTCTTTATGGTCCAGCTCTCACTTCCATACATCACTACTGGGAAAACCATAGCTTTTACTATACGGACCTTTGTTGGCAAAGTGATGTCTCTGCTTTTTAAGATGCTTTTCAAAAAAAAAAAAAAAAGTGTCCCCAGATTCTGTGAAAAAAATCTGGCAACCTTACACAAGAGGGGAGAGGTCTCTTGTGTTCGAATCCCGCTTGCTGTTTTCCCACTGACTCTCCTTAGATTCTTAAATCTAACCAAAGGCCTTGCAATAGGGATGGAGATTGGGGAGAAATCGATCAAGTCATTTCGCACATGTTCTATGGGGCAGTAGCTTTCCCTGCTCAAATTAGAAAGACAGAGCAGGAGCAGTGCGCTGGGGCTTTGCTAATTTGTAGGTTGTAATTTGCCATTTCTCCAGAGAAGGCACTTATTTTATGAGGTCTGGAACCAAACTGACAACAAACCGCAAATTGGGGGTGGGGAGAAAAAGGAGGCCGGCTGCGTGAGGAAGCAGGGAGGGGAGCCTGAAAATGGGAAACGTTATTCCATTTACAGGAGGAGAAATTTTTTGGTTTCCTTGCCAAACAACAGCAGATAACTTTGGGGCTTGGCAGTTGGGGGACTGCGGGGAGATTTTTACACATTTGCATTCTCCCTTCACACGCTCGGAGTTTCTCATTTCATCTCAGGAGGGACCGGGTTCTCCTCGCTTGGAAATTCACAGCTTTCCTTTTCGTCCCCAAAGCCGCTTATTTTCATAATTGAATTATACGGCTTAAGCCCATCATTCAGAGAATCATAGAGTTGGAAGGAACACCAGGGGACATCTAGTCCACCCCCTGCAGTGCAATCTTGCATCTCTAAAATCCTGATGCCCCACTGTGACATCAATTTTTTTTTCATTTTCTGTTGCATGAGATTTTTCAACTGTTCTTATATGTTCTTTCAATGCTGATTTCAAATCTGAAATCAATTTTCGTGTACATACTATAGTTATCTTTCAATTTCAGACTTTTGCCGATATATCATATTTACACTGGGGATAAGTGGACGCTAACCCGTTGATCTACCCTAACCACATGGTAATTGTTGTTTCGCAAACTTAATTTTTCTTTATTTTTATAGTTTTGTAACCTAAATATTGGTATTTTTCAGATCGGACCATGAACTCCTTTTCATATGGAGAAAGCCTGTGGGGTTTTTTTGGGGGGGGGATTTTTTAAATTGAATTTTACATCATAATCACAACTAACAATACAATCACAAAATAAATTCCTGATTACTCCCTCCCCCACGACTTCCCCCAACTTCCCCTCCTGGTTTCTTACACATTCGTTTGTCCTGCTTGGTGTCTTATTATGTCCTTAACATTTTAACCTCATTTTTATATTTTCTATATTTGCTTTGTTAACAAAAACAAAACAAAAGGTCATTCACTGTTAATAACTCATTCTCAAATCAAATTCTGTGCACAGATCTGTAGGTGCAGACCATGCCCCGATTCCATCTAGTTTGTTAAGAAAATTCCCAATCCCAGATCCACAGGCGACTTTGGGTCATTTCTCTAAGGTAGTCTGCTGTAATGTTTTTATGTGTTTATATGCCTAGCGCACTTTTAAACGTAAAATCCCTTGTTGTACATTGTTTTAAATGTTTGTTTTGCTTTTGGGATTGTAGTTCCATTTGTGTTTCTAAAGCTGGTCTCTGACCGTAATAAATTTCATGTTCATTCTCGAATTGCCCCCCTTAAAAAATCAAATTGCCCCACGTTGGGAACCACGGGACTAGAGGGACACTGAGTGAGCACAGACGTCTGTTGCCTTCTGGGTGGAAGCGTGCAGCCAGTTTGCCAGAATCCCATTTATTCCCATCATGTTCATAATAATAAATAATAGTAAAGCCACTTCCGAGCTAGGGAGGAGGTGGGGTTGCGGGCTTCACTCCCACCCCACTCTCGCGGGGCTGGCCTCAGCCCCACGATGACCCGGGGAATCCTCCGACGCGTCATCCCCGGGCCAGCCAATCGGCTGGGCCAGGGGGCGTGGCCTAGCCTCATTTAGGTCTGGCGCGGCCGAGGCTCTTCCTCTTTGCCGTGCAGCTTCAGCCAGGTTTTCCCGTCCCGCCCACCCATTAGGCTAGGCTCTCCAACGATGCTATGGACTCCGGTCAGTCGCCATCAAGGGGCCTGGCAGGAATTTTTCCATTTGGCAGATTGGCCCAGCCACTTGGTTTTCGCCTACCTCATAGCAACCCATCACAACTCTGCGGTATTGGCGGTTAGGTAGGGCTATTGTTCTATTGTTTGCAGGTGATGGGGGGGGAAGGAAGTGCCATCACTTTCCCCAAACTAAGGGTAGTCCGGTAAAGGATTCCGGGGGGCGTGGCCTCGTCCTGAGCCTAGGGAGGTGTGGGCCCTCGGCACACCCCCAAGCGGTAACTCCAGGGGGAGCTCCTAGCTGACGTGCCTCACCAGGACTCCCCCTATTGGTGGTTAACCCTTACCGGTTGAAACCGGTTAGTTGTAGGACCGATGCCTAAGAAAATACCGCTCAATTCCTGTAATCAATAAAGCCGTGGCCTAATTTGACCCATTACTCGAATTCTTGTGTCTCGTGTCTTTATTTCCAAGGGGGGAGGCGGGAACTCGCCACGCAATAAGAAGAAGATGGTCATAAGCGACTCCACAGGAAAGGAGCTCCTTTTAGAACATCTTGTAGCCATGCCTGGCTGGAGAGGGGGATTTTAGTTAGGATTGTGACTGGGAAAGGTTAAAACACCCCTCCCCAAATGCGGTGGTGTGGTCCTGAATCGCGTACCTGCCACCGTCTCACTTTGAGTGGGAAATCCTGGATCTGCAGAACCTGTTCCGGCTTCCGTTTTATATGCCCCCGGCATATAAGCCACCAGCATGCGTCAAGAAGCCAGCTTTGCAGCTGTACTTGCATATAGAAAAATCCTTCCCCCCGCCCCATAGTATCTCTAGAATAGTGATTTCTACCAGAATAGTGATCACTGCTAGGTGGAAGTCACAAACTATACCTACAAAGGAGGAATGGATTTGTAAACTAAATGAATATTTCATTTTGGCAAAATTAACTGATATAATAAAAAAAAATCAGTGGAATTAAAAAATTTTAAAAGGAGTGGAAATGTTTTGATGAATATATGGCAAAATATTGCTGGGGGAAAAAGATACGCTAATATGCCTAGATTAAAATGTGAAGTACTGGATGGAAGAAAAATGAGTAAGGAACGATAATAAGAATATAGAGATGATTTGAGAAGATTGTAGAATGCAAAGATTGTTGTAAATTGTATAATGTGGAGGAAATCGAGTGGGGGTGGAGGGAAGTGGGAGGAGGGAGAAAAGAATAATATGATGGATTGAGGAAATGTAAATGTAAATGTAAATGTATGGGGAGGAAATGGTGTTGGTTTTGGTACATCTGTATTGTAATGTGATATGTGAAAACCAATAAAAAGAAAGAATAAAAAGAAAGAAAGAGAAAGATGAAAGAAAGAAAGAAAGAAAGAAAGAAAGAAAGAAAGAAAGAAAGAAAGAAAGAATCGAATCCAGTGTCGAGAAACCAGGCACCATCTGGAAGAAAAACTTGGGGGTTATGGAATCACCACTGGTGCCTCAAGTTGAATAAAGCAGTGCCAGAAACACATGACTGGTCCCTGTTCAACTAAGGTGGCATCTAGTTTGGCTCTGGGCTGCCTGGAATCAGCTCAGAAAGGTTTGGCCAATGAGGAGAGACGTGGGCAATGGTGTCCTGGCGGATCCTTAGCCCAGCAGAACTTTCCTTAGCGCCACTGAGCAACAGGTGCCCTGAAGCACAAACCAGGATGGGCTTCTTGCCTGGGCAGACAGGTATGGTATTAAAGCGGGTGGGCAGTTGGGGTGAAGCATCCGCCACAAAAATGTGGCCGAGAAATACTTTTGAGTAGAGGGTGTCTGTTGTTTTGTTCTTGTTTTTATTATGTGTTTTGTGTCTTTTCTTTTGCATTTTTATGTTGTGAACCGCCCTGCGATCTACAGGTGAAGGGCAGTATACAAATTTACTAAATAATAATAAATCAACTCTTGTCAAGGCAAGCACCCTGAATTCCCTTCCTGCGTCCCCTTCCTTCCTTCCTTCCTTCCTTCCTTCCTTCCTTCCTTCCTTCCTTCCTTCCTTCCCCTTTTCTCTCTCTCTCTCTTTCTTTCTTTCTTTCTTTCTTTCTTTCTTTCTTTCTTTCTTTCTTTCTTTCTTCTCTCTCTCTCTCCTCTCTCTCTTCCTCTCTTTCTTTCTTTCTTCTCAGCCCCCCTCCCGCCCCGCTATTTATAGAACAAAACCCGCAATCAAAGAATTTTTAAAACCTGTTAATTGTTTCC